CGAACGAACCAACGAACGAATTAAGCCAACCAGTACTAATAACAATTTCGGTTTGCAACCAAATGTGACTTTAATGTGCGCATTGCGCTTCAACGAATTAGGCCAATCAATTTATGGGCACATATATGGAATTATCATCTTCTTTCCGGAAAGGAATCTGTTAATTACATTTGAAATGACATACAGAACTAAATTTTAAGACAAATTTCCGTTTTAATCTAATTGAAACGATCAAATTGCACTGATAATCATTTATTATTTGCTTGCAATTGTGAATCTGAGCAGCGGAAAGTTATTTAATTAATTGAGCGTATTAACCACACGAATTGTCTTAAATCATCTTATTAATCAGCGTTCCATCTAATGATGATAGCCATAAATGTATGATAAGTCTAATTTTAGTACCACTGCTGAAGTTAACCACCATTGTGTCTAAATCACTTCAGACGCATTCAAAGATTCCATAAAATATGAACCCTTAACTCGTCGTTGATCGTCAAGCAAGCAAGCAAACAGAGCCCAAGTGTACTCGTCTATGCATGCTCACACATAAATTATTTACTTACATTGTTCCATTTGCATTAAACCCCATTTAACTTGCGACGGCAAACTTTCATATGCCTACGCGCAATTGTGTGTGTGTATGTGTGTGTGTGCGAGAGCGCCATGCCAATTCAGGCATTCGAAGTGGTGCATTTATCATTATTGCTGCGATGCATATTCACAATGCTATGAACGTGATATATGCTCAATGTGTTTGGCCATTTGCAAAACTCGAACCTCAAATATGTTAATAAATGCGAAGTAGTTTCGAATTTGAGCAGTTCGTAGAAATCACTTTATCGATTCGTAATTCAATGCAAATTGATATGAAAATAAAATGGTTGGAATTGTAATGCAGTTGGATTGTGCTATTGGGGGATTTGCGTGTGTCACACATTTGAAATTCGGGCTCGGTTGCTCTCATATATTGCGGCTATGTATGCGGCCGTGTGTTTGTGTGTTGTGCGCGCATATGTGCGTCTATATGCGAAATCAATGCATGAGAAATGATAAATGACATTGATGGGATTTAATTCAATCATCCTGACCAAATTAAAATCGACTCGAGATAATAGCCGCATCAGTGGCATTTACTAATTGCATTGGCCAAAAGAACGGATCTCGGTTTGCCCATTCGAAGTAAAATGATACTTAAATAAGCATATTAGCACATAATTGATTCTGATGAATCGTTGTGTATCGCTTGAAACCGTGCCTTGGTTTGATTAAAATCGTTGGTTTATACTTCTCATAGTAAATTGAATCGATGAGAATGTTCGAAATGTCTGACATTTCTGTTAAATAAAACTTTGACATCGAAATAAGTGAACATTGAATGGATAAATTCTACAAATTCGAGGTGAAAATCATAGGATAACAAAAATCATCTTACACTTTCGTCTCTGCTATTCCGCCTTGATACGCATTCAATTTTCATTTGAAATTTGATGCAATTTCCGGTCAATGGTCTCAAATATCCTCACTGATTCAATTAATGTTTACATGTGGATTCTTGAATTTCTTTGAAATTCAAGCTGTGCCACAATTAATTTAATAGCCACAAACAATTCATGCGTAAAGGATAGTCTTGGCCCAAATCAAGGGCTTCGTATCAATTCTATTACAAAAATAGCTTAGGTGGTTAGTGGCAACCGCATGCAATCACTCTTCAAAATGCACAGGTTCACACATCGATATATGGACACAAGCATAACGACGTCTTCTCTCGACACATGAATTTACACTGGTTCGATTGTGGCATGTAATTCAAGTGTATCATCACCGTGTCTAATGGACAAGGAGACTTTCGATGGGAAAGAAAACGATATTTATTATTGTTTGTTCACATTTTCCACTTCAAATGTGACTCTTTACCTCACTTCTTGAACATAAGTCACACACAGTAATCGAAACAAGAAATTTCACCCAGTGTTCTCCAATCATTGGTCATAATTGTGTAAAAAAAACTTATAGTTCAAACGTGTTTTTGTCCATAATTCTAAGATAAATATTTTTTCACGTTCCGTTTGAGTTGCAGCTCACTCCTTGAACCGTAATCACTCTAAATCATTCAAGCACGCTTTTCATGTCACTTCATTGCATGTCATTTTATATCGTCGTCTGGATGCGCCTCGTTTTCAATTATTATTTGTTTTAATATGTTGACACCACAATCGGAGTCGATGTGAGGCGCGAGTGAGTGTACGGAGTGGTGTATGCGCATACAGAACCGACGTTAAAAACTATGAATAAAATTACAATGCAAATGTGACAGCAGCAGCTAAAATATTCTGGTGAATGTGCTCGCACTGATGATACCATTCCAATAACTGTTTTTTTCTGTGCGAAATAATTTCCATTTGCATTAGATTTGCCGCTTGCAAGCAACCCAACGCTGCATAGCAAATGGTGAATTTAGTCGTGTATTTTGCTTGTGCCGATGCCACGAGTTTCTTATATATACATTTTTTTTTCTTGCTGATGTCCTGTTTTTATGACTCAAAACAATATTTATTATAATAAAATGGCTTTTTTTGTTTGTAATAAACGTTGAGCTACCGCCTCTTTCTATCTATCTCTCCTTCTCCCTAAGTTTTGGTTCAGTTTTTTGTGCAAGAGTGCGTTGCGCACATTATAAAGAATTAAAAATGAGGAAAATTATGAGTTTGGCCATCCTTTTCCATTGCATCATAATCCATTAAAAACAATATTTTTTTGCTCACTTCCCATGCATTTTCCATTTTTTCTCCTGCTGTTTTTTCCCGAAAGTCAGTTTTTTCCTCATTTATTGCAATTTTATAGCGGCCAACAACAAAAACATGTTCACAAGATATGATGCCCAAATACTTGCATCCACCTGCAAGCATCGGCAAGATCTAGCAGTTTGTGTTCTGTAACATTTCCTTTTGTTCTTCTGGTTATCTGCAGGCATTACTTCTTCAACTCGGCAAGCGAACGAACCAACAAACAATCTGGAGAGCGCTTCCCTTGCGCTCTCTGCGTTCCACTTGCTCATTGTCGCACAAAAACTGGCGCTGTACTGCTATTGCTCGAATAAATTGCTGATGTCATGTAATAACAGTTTAATACTGAAAACAGTTTTATTTATGTTTAAAATACGTTCACATTTTCGTTAGACCGAACAACATACAATGCAAACGATGAATTCGCTAATGTGCAGATTGCCGAGGAGTAAATAATGAATGCAACAACACTGCGAATAAAAGTTTTGTGTTTATGATGAATGTCTTTTAATATTTGACAAACACACACACACAAAGAGCGAGCGAGAGAGGGAGAGGCAGAAGAAAGCAAAAGCGAAAGAGCGAAAGAGAGGGGAAAAAATTAATAAATAGGATGAACAATGTCTGCAATAGCAATATGAACATGGCAATGATGAGCCAAAACATAAAACACTATACCAGTAGCACACAGCATAAAAACGCATTAAACTTTAGCCAATTCGTGGAAAACGGAACGAACGAACGTGCAAAAACGTACGCTTTGGTTTGGGTCCCCAAAGTGCAAAGGCATTATTAGCTGAGTTTCCATGCATTAAGCAACACAAAAACTTTGAATCTCTTTATCACTCGCAATGAACATTCTGAATCGATCACTGGTGTCATTGATTTAATGTGGAAACTATGCGATGAAAACACACTTACAGACAATGGAACTCATTTTGCCGTTGTTAGCACACACTTTAATTCAACTGCTTTCTCTTGTTTTTTGCTCGTTATTCTCTCATCGATATTTATATTAGTTAATCGCTCATTAACATGCAATCACTTTTTGCTACGGCGTCAAACGACTTGACAATCAAATGCTTGATGTTTTTACGGTGGGAATTTTTATGATAGAAAGCTTATTTTGATGTCGGTTTTCCATTCATTCACTCATTTCATTTGACTGGGTTTGTGTGTGTTGTAATGTTGCGGGGGTTTGTTCAATGGAATGGAATCGGTCCGAATGGAAAACGTAATTGATTATTTCATCTTCCTTCCGAGAGGTCTGTTTGAGCGGAAAACCAACGGTCGCGCAACAACCAACCATTTTTATTCGAAATATGCAAACAAGTAGCAAGTAGCATATAGTAGATTTGATTTATGTGAAGAAGAAGGAAAAAAAATAATTAAAATATTTATAAATTTATGGCTTTTCCTTCTCCACATTCAACCGCAATAATTCACTGAATGGGTCGAAGTTCTTTTGATGCTTTTTACTGAATTTTTCCTTCTTCATTTTTTTTAATACTATTCCTTCTGATATTGTTCAATTCGTTTTTTTCGCATCACTTATTTTCTTTGCATTTTATGACATCAAAAGAATATTAAAACCAAATATGTGAAAAATTATCCTTTTGGTGGTTCAGCAAGTTTGGTTTTTATATATATATATAATTTTTTTTTTTTGCTTTTGGATGTGGGAGGTCACAAATGTATACAGACTTAAGTATGAATAAAAGAAGTTAAAAATATAAGACGAAGAAAAAAATGCGAGCCAAAAGTCATTAAACACAAAAGCCATAAAATTCACAGATTCTTATTGAATATTATTGATAATTCGTGAAACGTAAACATAAAAAGGAAACTTGTGAAAAGTTTCAGCGACAATTTTAGTAAAATGGGGATCGCACGCATATTGTCTATATTCTACTGCTAGCGCTGTTCCACGGGCACAACGGGCTATATTCGATGGAATGCAATGCGAATGTCGGTGCTGTCGTTTCTTTCGTGTGTGTGTGTGTGTATGTTGTTGGTTTGAATGTGTGTTGTGTCGTATAAAAAGAAATGGTATGAAAACACCGCATGAGTTGACATGAACTATTTTCGGAAAATATTTATGCTTTTAAGTGAAATCCGTTGAAACCACATTTTGAATTGATATGTATACGTATACGTATATTTACACAATGGTATAACCTTTTCCTTTCTCTTCTTCTGTCACCTTCTCTACAGTACCCGTCGTTGCGATGGAGGCGCTTATAGGCGAAACGACATATTTACCATGCAACGTTAGCACTCACGATGTTAACGATGATGTTGTGCTGGTGCTGTGGTATCGAGCAGATAAAGGAACTCCAGTTTACAGGTAAAAATGGATAAAAAAAATTCTGTTTGTAATTTACTCACTCTCACACCGACACAGACACCGCCTGTTAACACAACCACAAGATGTTTTTTTTTCCTGTTTGTTCCTCCACACACTTTTATTTATATAGTACGAAACCCTCTTTTTTGTTCGCCCATTTCATTTGCTCATATTCATTTTCATTTTTCTGATAGCCATTCATTAGTTTTTGCAATCGCGAAAAAGTCACAAATCCCACGTGGCAAGCGGATATGGCTAAATTTTTCGTTTAGGTCTTTTGCACCGTAACAATTTTTATGGAAAAAGCTTAATTTTAGCATCGTAAATCATGTGTGTGTGTGTGTATGTGTGTGTATGCATGGGCTGCCCCGTTTTTCAGGCTTACATTGACCAATTACATATAATATATATAAAAAATATTGCACAATGAGCAGAAAAAACAAAAAAAAAGTGTGGGAGCGAAAGCCAGAAAGAAAAAACACATTGAAATAAATATGAATTATATTCCATTTTATGAATCATTTGAACATACGCGAAGCCAATAAAATATGTAGAAGATTCCACCATAGCTTTAAACATTTGTTTTAAAGCCGATCAAGTGTGTGGCGGTTCGTTTACTTTGTGTGGGAATGCATCAACAGCGGTGGCGGTTATGGAGGTGGTGGCAGCCAAACAATAAATACGCAGTTTATGAGCGAAAATAGGATTTAATTTATGAAATGCGATCGCTGTGATGCGTTCCATGGCATTGGCCTCTTATTCACTGTCCATTTGATGTCGTAAATAAGGCTGAATGTCGAAATGGTCCTGTGGTATATAGAGTAATTTGTTCACGAATACGGGTTGGGTCAAAGTGAACACGACATATATAACAAACTGGAGCGAGAGAAGAAAAAGAAAACACCATCAGCCTCACGCAAATTAAATTCTAAGGCTAGACATGTTCCCATTTCCATAGATCTTGAATAGATGGTCTTCGGTCTTATATCTCTGTATATTATATGTGTTTATCAGAAGCGCTCATCCACTCTACTCCGCATAACCTGATAAGAATTCCCGCGTGAATATTTTCTCAACACTTTTTTCTTACCCACATCCATTTTCGCACTATGGCGTTGAATTGTTCATCGTCTTGCACCACTGACAATAGAATAATGTACACTCCCATAAAAAGCGCACACCGCACACACACACAACAACGAGAATATGACGAAATACAACCGGTCTAATCCATTTTAGCGTAAATATATTGTCTGTATGTGTGCGGCTGTGCAATGTTCATGTTCAGTGTACAGTGTACACGCATGTTGTGTGTTTTGTGTTGTGCAAGTGCGATGGCGTCCACACAGAAGTGCAGCATGTTGATAATTTATATGAACACGAACACATTAAATACATATTTACATGCACATTATACGATCAGCGGCAGCAGTGCATACGTAATATCAACTAATACATAATATTAATACTAATAGTAGGTTTAGCATGATATTTGTATACAAATGGGAAAATTTATTTTTCTATTTTTCTTTGAATATTTAATGTTCGCAGTTCACTTACGCGAAACATGATTTTCCTTCCAATTTTTCTCACTCGTTCTGTCTCTCTCTCTCTCTTTCTCACACTCATTCTTCCCATGTACCTTTTAATGTGTTGTGTATTCGATACAACCGTTGCTAAACATTGGATTCATGTCTTCATTGCTCTGCTGACATCATGTGGCGTGGCGTGGCGTTTATTCTCTGGGCCGTCGTGTGGAATGCTACTCTATCATCAATAATGAATTTGAATCAATGCTCGTTCGGCTGACTGCATCGAATTTAATGAAAATCACAAACGATGGAATGCGACAATGACAACAACAACGGGCAAATGGCAACGGTAACAACAACAGTGTGGACATTCGAGATAGAGATTTCAAGGCGGCCAAACGATGGTCCGATGAAACGGTGTTTGCCAATCGTGCTTATTTCCTATTCGAAAAGCAGCCAGGTGAATTGGCCGTACAAAATGCGAAAGAGAGTGATTCAGGAATTTATCGATGTCGCGTCGATTTCAAAGTAGCTCAAACTAGAAATAGTAAAGTCAATTTGACAGTTATACGTAAGTATACTTCGATTTCTAATTAAAAAATTCTTTTTTTCTTCATTCACGTCGTCGTATGTTTGCATCCGCATCTTGGTTGTCGCTTTATCACTTTCTGCACGCTCCTGCAAGCAGTGAACCAATTAAGTTTCGAACGAATGACACCAAAGCGGAAGCATCACAACTCTTTGATGGACAAATTAACGATTGAGACTTTTTTCTCTTAAATTTTCTTTTTCCTTCTCATTTTTACAGTGCCTCCTGATAGAATAAGTATAAAAGACGATACTGGCGTGGAAAGAAGCAGCGTCGTTGGACCGTACGCCGAGGGTGACATAATTACTTTGAGTTGCGAAGTCTTTGGTGGTAAGTGTCATACACTATTCATCAAACGAATGACCGTAAAAATCAGTTTAATCATTATATTCATGTTGCTCGCGGCGAAATGAGGAAAGAAACAAGAAATGAAGACAAAAAAGCCACTGTGTGTCTCTGCAATTTTTTGATCCGATTTACAGATTTCATCTCTTTTTGCTAGGCGGAATTTCAAATTTGACATTTATGTTGAGTGAAAAAAAAATCGGGCTTCTATGCCTTTTCAATGAGAGATAGGAAAAAAACAGTTTTTATCTTTTTCTCTCGAATCATGAAGAAGAAATTATCGAAGAAAAAAAGATATTTGTGGAAAATTTGAAAGGTCCGAAATGGTTTCATTGAAAGGAAGACGAAAACAGAGAAGAAAACAAGACCGCAGAGCTTCGCTTGGCTCCGCTCTGCGTTCTTGAGTTTTTAGTTACTTGATCTATTTTGTTGTAATATATTTATTTGCAAAAGGAATTACAAGATCTTGGTTTTATTTCTTTTTTGAAATATACTGCCTTTGGTTTAAACTAAATAAATAATATGAGCATAAAATCTAAAATCACTTTAATTCTGGTCAAGACTCAGAAAATATTATACGAAAAATTAATGTAATTTTTAAACAACATTTGATAATAAAAATTTGATTGGCGCTTTGAGATATTATGCACTTATTTGTCGTTAGTGCACCGGTTTTAAATTAAATAAAAAATATGAGCATAAAATTCAAATTCACCATAATTCGTTTCATCACTTAAAAAGTATAAAAAAAAGCAGATTAGTAGCTCTACATTTCATGTAGTGCTGAAAAACATACAAATTAATTTCGTTGACTTATTTGGTGCAAAGTAATCGGAGAGAGAACACGGCGAGAGGTGGATGAAGGCAAAATGTATACGACGCCGAGATACCAATCATAATGCATAGATACACAACCGCACTTATACAAAACCGAAATAGAAGTCATTTGTAAAAAAAAATATCGTATCGTTAAAATTCCATTTCAGGCTTATCAGACAGTCATCACTGTTGCCATGTTCACATTATTCCTTGTTTAACAATGGAACGTCATTTGTACAATATCTGTGTGTGTTTGTTTCGTTTTATTTTCGTTTCGGATTTCGTTTGCCGCTCTCACCGTCAATTTGCATCATCTGTCATCTCAAGAATGAACAAACGTGCACAATACACCCACCACACATCCTCGATGTAATCGAAATGGCGATCGTTACGCATTGACCATATCTAAATTGAATGGAAAAACCGGATGCTATAAAAAAAGAAGAAGAAGAAAAATAGGCCTACGCTGTGCTATTTGCGGCCTTTCTTCAAAATATCAACCAAACACACACACACACATAAACACGGTATTGTGTGTCATGGGGCACCCTCCGTCACATTATAAAAACGCACACAAATACTGGCACATTCACACATTCGATGCGGTATTTTATGCATTATCTCTTCATTGCTTTCCTTTTGTGTTTCTTTTGTGCGGTAATAACCGTCTAAATAGCACTTCACACGTTTCTTGAATCGTATACGAAAACTGCCAAATAATATATATATATTCTTTTGTTGGCAAAGTGCGCATAAATTTAGTTTTTATGAAGATGAAATTTTCTACGACCGCATCATACTGTGGACGACTGAACTCTCTCACGAATAATTTTCATTTTCATGCACAATAACAAACGTCCAAACAAATGAGCGATGTGTACAGCATTTGCCTAATTATCTGTTGCTGATTTCAATTTGTTGTGCTCATATCGTAACAAACATCATGATTTGTTCAAGTCATAAACTGAATTTTCGAAACATTTGAGCACAAAGTGTGGCCAATGAGAAAGAAAAAACAATAAGAACAATGGCTGTAACTCGGTGGTAAGCTAGCAACTTGTGCAAAATTAGAGTAATTGTGAACAAAAAGCGTGAAACCTTTTAACTGAAGCTTTAAAGGGAATAGTTCAAGAAGAAAACTCAAGAAGCAATGCTGCTTTTTCTCTAACGCTCCCTCCTCCATGCCTGCCTGCCTGCCTGCCAGCCCACGATACACATCGTCTGTTCCACTTCGTTCTTTTCCTCTTCGCACCCTTTCACTCTCCTCGTTTTCGGCATAAAGTTGCTTTCACATTTCACGAAGACATAAGATGTAACGTAATTTTACCCAAAACAGTGTCTTCTATTGTAAATTTATTATTTTGGTTAATTCGAGCGACTGTGGAAAATGGTGAAGCGGGCTCAAAATGCGGTGTAAATAGAATGCAATAATGGACTGTATTCTCGCTATTCGAAAAATAAAAGGCAGCACAATTTTGGTTAAAATTAAGAGAATTAAAAACGGCTACGGAACACATTGCGATTCAGATGTGTGTGTGTGTGTGTGTGTGTGTGTGAGTGAGTGTGTGTTTATTGTGTATATATGTATGTGTACCGTAACTAAATTAACAAACACATGCGAATTAAGTAGAATAAAATGGCTAGGTACTACATGGTACCCAATATTATGCAATATTATGTGGACACACAATGTGCATGCATGCTTGCACGTCATCATATCATCGCGCTCATGCATTTACACACAAACATAAATGCAAACACCTACGAAGTGAAGAGGAGGCAAAAGCAATTTTCGAGCACCCAGATAATTTCGACAGTGTCGACTCGACATACAATCAGCCCCACGCAGAGAAGAAGAGAGGGAGAGAGTTTGTGTGTTTGTGAAGAACGTATGCAGCTAGAGCCAGACGCATAATATCTTGCATTTGCACATATACACATAATTAGAATAATGTTGATGTTTTATACTTAATGACCAAAGTTTTTCCACACCGAAAAATTTTCGCCGATTCCGGTGCGAGCGTATGCAAAAAAGCTGTGCTATAGTGACACCACATCCATATTACAATAACACCACTCGTTGTAACCGGTAACAATAAAAAAAAGCCATACACTTGCCATAATTTGCAAATGTTCTTATTTACGCTTTTGGCTTAATGAAGGCAACATTCTCGGGCTGGCTCATTCATGGCATACGTTCGGGCAACAATTGCAATTGCGATTGCGATGGAAATCATCAGGCATGCTTGAGCGAACCAGCAAACGAACGAACGAACGGCAAACAGACGAAAACCAGCGAGAAAAAAAAGTGGGTACGTGTAACAAAAATCGCAAAAGAAACATATATATGACGGAAAACAAAAACGAAAACAAAGTACAAGAAGAGAGCAAGGGGCACACTTACCAAGCAGAATAGGCGGAAGAAATCGCCGACATAGCGACGTATACGACAGCAAAAACGAATGAACGTGCGTGCGTAATATTGAATGCAAATAAGATGAAAGACTACAATATTAGTATTATGCTAATATAAGTTTCACCCGTATTTGTGTGATGTGATTCATGCGATGAATCTGTTTTTGCTACCGTTTGAGCTCTCTCTCTCTCTCTCTCTCTCTCTCTCTCTCTCTCTCTCTCTCTCTATGCCGGCATTATTGTTGTCTGTTTCTGCCTTTTGTTGATGGCAAGTTGACTGTGCAAACTTTCTACAAAGCGCCTCAATAATTTCATTTTCACATGCACTTACATCATCGCAATATGAATATGCCCTTTTTAATGTTGCTACATTTCGTTCGCTTGCAGAAAATTTAAGCTGCATGTGGCGCGACGCAATCTAACATCATATCTTGAACAAGAATGCACTCAATAATTTCATTTTCACATTGACTCGTTCTTTGACTTTTCAACTTCTCAAATGGGTATCGTACTGGATGAATTCATTTTTCGCTTTATTTGCGAACAGATGAGAGGACTGAAGTCATAAAAATATTTAGGAGTTTTAAAAATAATTCCAGCCATTTCACTTGAAATGTTTGAACGTTACGACGAGCTTTCTTGTTGCTTTTCCGTCAAAAGTAAACATGCATGAGCGTGCTTGTGAGAGACATAGAAAGACAGAGATTTGGTTCGTTCACATTTTTCGATGGAAACAAAGCAACAATTTTTCAATCATTTCACAAAATGCATTCATGCTATCAGCAACGGAATGAAAATTCCATTTTCCAAGCAAAAGAGAGCCAGCCATTCGTGCATGAGTAAACGATTTTCATTGTAAATTGTGTCCGATTGTATACTACTACACAAAAGAAAAGCACGTCCACCCTCACCTATGCTCACAGTTCACCTATGGCAAAAAGATCTCCTAATCGCTTGTTATCATAATTTCGACACAAAACTACATGTTGAATACAACGGGAAATGCAAGCCAAACACAAACAATAACAAATGCTCGCACTGGAGCATTTACAAATTAGAAAAAGAAACAACAACAATAAAACTGAATGGCAAATGGAATACAAAGCATGTCCAAATATTTTGGTATGGAACATTGAAGAAAGTCACCTTCATGAAGCAACTTGTGACTACGTTTAGCACACATACACACACCACCACCACCATCATTCGCTGACATTCACTCTTTGCTCGACGGCTCACGTAGTATCCTTTTTCCGTCACATGTCACACAATATGTGGACATTATTCTTTCTTGTTTCGTTTTTTCCACACTCGCTCCCTGTCTCCCTCCTCTTTCGCTATTTGTTCGTTCGCTCGTTCACTGCCTTACTCTCGCCATCCATTATCCATTATCCAAACACAAAACGGCTAAAGTTAATTAAGACCTTAACGTTTTGTCGTCGAAGTACGTTCACCATTTTTATCACAGTAGTGATAAAATGAATGGATGCCAATTTCAATTCTTATGCCTGGTGTTTTTGTGTTTATTTATCGAATGCTGGCGATCATTGAAGCGATTAAGTTTTATGTATGTTAAAGTAATATGCTTAACTCTCTCCCTCCATCTCTCATTCTCTGTTTTGAAACGAACGTCGACGACGATAAGTGTATTCGATCGTAGCTTATTGATAAAATTTGCTAAGAAAACTGCGTCGCCAATGTACATGTAATCTTTTAAATGCTCAATCCATTCAACGTTTCTATTTTTTTTC